AATGACCAAATGATTGATGATTCCTTAGGTGTTGAGATTTCTCAAAGCATTCAGATGAGTACAAATCAAATGATGGAAACGTTAACAAATAAACAGAATGTTATAATAGTTGACGAAATAGTTGATATTATTCTTGACAATGGAAACAAAGGGTTTGAAGATAAGGATTTCATAAGATATATTAATGATTACTTTAAGAATCAAAAGATCGCTTTACAAGAAATTTTTGATTGGTTATCTTATAATCAAGATAGGTCAAATAATATTTCTTTACTTGGATATTTTCATCATGCTGGAATTGGAACAAGTTGTGATAAAAATGCGGCTTTTAATTTGTTTTTTAAGGCATCAAACCAAAACAATGTATTAGGACATATTTATGTTGGGATGTATTACCTACATGAAAATGGCACTATTACAAAAAACGGTAAATTGGCCTTTAAATATTTTAAAAAAGTGGCAGAGCAAGGATTATCATTGGGAAAGTTGATAATTGGGTATTTATATAAATATGGTATAGGAGTTAAACGTAATTTTAGGATGGCAATTCATTGGTTTGAAAATGCCTCAAACCAAGGAAATTTATCAGCCTTGAATCTTCTTGGTGATTGTTATAGACTCGGACAAGGCATTGAAGAAGATGAAAATAAAGCCTACGAATTATATAAAAAATCAGCGGAAGGGAATCATTCGGATGGAATAACAAAGATAGGAATATGTTATCTTGAAGGAATTGGAGTTGACATAGATCTACAAAAAGCTCGTGAATATTTCGAAATAGCGGCAAATAAAGGTAATCCAGTTGCAATGGATAAGCTAGGACACATGTATCTTATGGGAAATGGTGTTGAGGAAGATAATGATAAGGCATTTGAGTACTTTCAAAGGTCGGAACAAGAAAATTATTTGTGTGCATTAACAAGTTTAGGAGTATGTTACAACAAAGGGCTTGGAACCAGTGTTGACAAGGAAAAGGCATTTGAATTATTTGAAAAGGCCGCCCAATTAAATGACGTAAAAGCTCAATATTTTCTTGCAGAAATGTATGATAATGGAGAAGGGGTGGAATTTGACTTGGATCTAGCAATTTATTGGTATATAGAAAGCCTTAAACAAGGACCACCACCATCAAATGAATATGATGGTGAAGAAAGATTAGAATACCTTATAAGATACAAATATAGAAATAATATGTTTGATGAATAAGTTCTTTGTATTTTATACATTTAGGACAATAATTATATTATAATAAATATTATACCTATTTTTATCACATAACAAGCTTTGTTTTGCAATGATTCGATCTTGCCGTTGCGGAAAAGATTGAAGTTTGTTAAATCGGTTATGCATTTTTTTTTCTCGTTAGATATTTTAGGAAAATCATGTATTTGAATGTGCAATTGATTTACCCCCCCAGAAAAGCTTTGAACGGATGTATGTATTCGTCATACTGAATATTGAAAAGAGGTATTGGGAAACTTTCAAAAATCAACTCGGCCTTATTATTAATTTCGTAAACTTTCCAAGTATATTAATAATAATAGTTTCTTTAATTTTATTTTTGATCAGTATGATAATAATATTATTGAATATATTAGCTTGAAGATTTTTTGACAGCAGATTTATGTTTTGGTTACCAAACCGAAATTTAACGAAAGGCACAATGATTTTAAATAGACTTTAATTTTATAAAACATCATATATTAAATATTTTAACAGAATTTTGAATGAGTATGATTTTAATACATTATGTTGTTCGCCCTTTTATTTGAGCTTTTGCTTATATTTTTCCACTAAAGGCTATTGGTACAAGTAAATCAATTCTGGTACAAAATTTTTGGTTTCACGTAAAGGTTCCAATTATGGAAAATAAGCAAATTTGCTAAATTTTCAACATGGAATAAATCTGTGATTATTTAAAAATAGAACATAACTTCAAAAATTTAAAGCGATTCCCCGTTCTTCTTCATCATAAATCATTTTCTCTTCATCAGAAGTGTTTAAACTTATTTTTTGTTTACAAAATTTCTTTTATTTTAGATTTCAAGAGATACATTTAATCACTACCTTTTTGATAATGCGTGTTGTGTTAAATGTTTGAACTGATCTCTGACTGTGAGTTGTTATAGCTGAATCTTTTGAAGAAAATTGGATCTTTGAATCCAAACATTCTTTGTACAGAATGGATATATTGATAAGATGAACAACTCCTTACATAATTCTTTACAAACATTCTAATAAATAGAATTTAATATATGGGTTAGGAATGTTTCATAAAATAATATAATTAAAGAATTTTGATCTATAAATTCTTAGCCTTTATTTTCTTATAATCTTGAAACTCTGACATTATTCTGTGTAATTTGATTTATAAATTACTTTATATAAATCATCTTTAAATATGTAAAATAAACATCAAATAATAATTGATGAATTACCTTCCATAATAGATACTTTTTTGGATTGCCGTCATTGCACAGTGCTACCGCAGTTTGTTGTTATCTGACAATAAGATAAAATCTCAAAATATCATAATTAGATCGAGACCGCCTGTGAATAGGTGACCAACTCCATCAATCAATGTTGTAAATTATATTGTCATCTTGCATATGGAACATTGTATTTCCTGCTTTGGGATTAAGTAAATGAATAAATATTTTTATTTATATCGATATGATATGCTTATTCTCACGCACGATATTGATTAATTACCCCTCAATTTCGGCGGTCCGTACGATCAGGTACGTTTATTATACAGATTTCGTATCGTTAAGATACATTCTAGGGAAATATTTAAGAAAATTATATAGATCCGATCTATTCTTTCAGAAAGAAAGCCATCATTTTTATATCTAAAATTCAGCAAGAACATATTGGTCAGATTTGGAAAACTATTTCTTTAATTAAATAAAATAAAAAGAAAATTAATTACTATTTTGACAATATTATGGCAAATAATTTTTTAAGCAAGTATATATATATTTTTGACAATGAATTATTTTTTCTTGACAAGTTTTTTTGAGGGCAGATGACATTTTATTTTTGATTAAAATCGAATAAGCGAGAACGAAACTCGAATGATAGAATAGAATCTAAACTTGTTGAAACGTTTAATCGATTCTAAAATCGATTCTAAATTTGCATCAATTCAATACAGTAGTGTACACCTTATTTTATGCGTGGGGTAAATTAGTAGACCCGATAAAAAGCGACTATTTTAACGGCTTTGATCAATCAGGTGAGCAAAATCATGTGATATATTTTAAACTCAGTTGAGATTTATATTAAATTAAAATTAAAAATTATGTCGGTGCTGCTATAGTATAGCGGTATAAAGCACTTGACATTCAACTCTCGAATACTGGGTTCGAGTAAAGCTAATACCAAAAAAAAATAAAATAAAAAAAAAAAAAAAAAAAAAAAAAAAAAAAATTTTTTTTTTTAAAATTATATTTTATTTAACGAACAACGTATTTTTTCAGAAAAATAAAATCAAAGAATGTCCGTGACGTCTTTTTTTTTACAGTATTTTACTATATAACAGTCAGAAGTGCATATGAACTTGCCCATTATAATACGCGTTCCAAAAGATTTTAGCTTCTTTTTCTACTACAAACGACAACACATATGAAAAGGCTAAAAAAAGATATTTAGTGACGAAGCTTATTGATGTTTATAATACTTTATATTATTAAACGTCAACGGTAAGGAGGACAAAGACAGTATATTTGTTTATTTCCGGTAATTTGAATTTTATCATTTTTATGTTTTCATTATTTCTCTTCCAGTAGAGCAGGTAAGAGGGAATAACGTGCGGTTGTAGTTTGACGTGAAGTACTTGATTTAATTGCAGCTAACAGTATTGGGCCTAGTAAAAGGCATGTTTGATTAGAATTAATTATGAAATCAAAAAGGTCGTCGTATGATAAGAACTAATTACTTACCTCTTAAATTTACATTCACGATCATTAATCGTTCATAGGAATTTTCAACTGAAAGGCATGTTGACGAATTATCACAAATACAACCCCACGATTTGAAAATGATATATGAAAAAATCTTTATTGTCAATAAGATTAATAAAGATGATGGTATGTGAATTACACTCCTAAATCATCTACTACGTAAGTAGTGTAACTGAACATATTGCCATTAAAGCATAAATATTAAAGTTACAATGCTTATAACTTCCGGTAGTTGTGGCTCCTTAATTTAGAGATTTAGAATAGTACTCTTTCTCAGAAAGATGATTTCCCTTTCTTGATCTTCCGTAATAACGAAAATTTATGTTAAATGGTTAAAAAATAATTTCAAAGGTGCTCTCATAGGGAGTATTTTAACAACAATGATTTATTGCCCAAGGCTTCACGGATCCGGACTGTTCAACAAAGGCAAGTTATTAAATGTTAGATTGATTTTAAAAATAAATAAAATTAATTATCTATTAGAACTTACCTTCAAGATTTCAAGGTTCCACCTTTCTATATGGTAAGTTTGAAAATATTAGGTTTTTTTTATTTTTAAAAAAAAAAAAATAACTAACGAGATTTTCCATTAGAACTTACCTCCGATCTAAGATTCAAGGTTACAGATAGGTCTATGAAGGTTAACTAATGTTGGTATTTTTAATTTAATATAAAAAACATATATACATCCAAAATTCTCCATTAGTGCTTACCTCCGATCCGATTCCAATCAAAGGTTTAGGTTCTGAACTGTTCTACAAAGGCAAGTTGGTACAAGTTAGTTTTTAGTGTTGTAAAATAAAATACAAAACAACTAACCAATTCCTCTATTAGAACTTACCTCTAATCCAAGAACTAAGGTTGTAAGGGTTTTAGTGCGGCGTAAACGTTTTGAAATGTAGCAAATATATATATATAAAAAAAAGAGAGATATTTCCGGTTCGTTCAAGTCCGTCTGGTATTTTAAAAATAAAAGAACGAACATTACTTTTAAAAATAAAAATTTTAAATCGGTCAATTACATGATTTGAATTTTCAGACTGAAGGGATTTCTGTATAAAAAGTCCGGTCAAATCCGACGGATTCATGGGATGGTAACGGTCGGTCATGGTCGGTAAACGGTCGGTCAGAAGCCTTTGAACCTAGATCATTCACGGATATCCGATGATGGATTGAATGTGTTTAGTTCACAAGGAAATGATTCTTTAAGTTGGTTTCTCGCATCTTGTATCGTTTCCCTTTTTTTAGTGGAATTCACTGTTACTCCTGGATTTCATAAGGATCAAAACTTCAAATTCTTCAACAGTCATTTGTACGTTTCCTAAAATGCCTTTTAACTTTAAAATAACTTCTTTTTCATTTATTCTAAAATCAAACTTCCTCATTAAATCCCCTATTGATATCACCCTTTGCATTACAATAATTTGGAGTTAAACTTTTACTTACTTTATCGATTAAAGCGGTAACCCAATCCCAATAAGAATTAATGCTTCTATGTATACTAACTTTGTAGTAACTCTTCGAAATTCTTTCCTGTAATTCATTAATTTGAATCAAAGTATCTAGATCATCCACTAAACAGTTATTCTATTCTTCATTATGAATATTTTCCGTAAAGTTTGTTATGAGCTCTCTTTGATCATAATACTTATTATTTAAAGGGATGAATTTTTTACCTTTCAAATTTTTTAATACGAGGAACGTTTTATCATAAATGGATATAAATAAACAAAAATAATAAAAAATTAATATCTTTTATTTTAATATTTCTGACATTTCTTATAATTATAACATAAGTTAAAAAACAAGGTATCATTAATACTACCCGAAGCGAATTTAAAAAAACTTTGATCATTTACTAACTAACTTTCCATCATCATAAAAATGAAAAAAATCTTATAATAAGGGAATATAGCAATTATGTATAGTATGGATTTTTATGTATGAAATGTATGGTTTCAATTAATTATGTATGGTTTAAAGTCACAAAAGTATTAAATATTTATATATTAGATATTAAAAATGTAGCCACACTATTAGGTGAAGTTTTTTGGATACTTAATGAAAAAAGCTGAATAAATAATATCTGGAATAGAAAGATATTTTGTAAAAAAGGCTACTGGTTCTTTATCTTCATTAATATTTTAATAAATTAAAAACAGTTTTCAAAAAATTAAATTTTAAAAGTTATTCTTTATCTTTAACTATAAAAGGATAATAACTAAAACCTGTTAATTAAGATTATAGTTTCTTTATCAGATATTTGAAAGAACAATTGAACTTATATTAGATATAATAATTAATATAAGGATGTAATAGTAGATTTCTCAAAAGTAAAAAAATAAGACGTTTTAAAGAAATTAACAATATATAGGATCAGAAGAATAGTCAAATTTTAAAAAATAATACTCATTAACTAAGAAAGAAAATATTAAATAGCAATAGAAATATAATGCTAATGCTAATCAATTAAATTATAACTGATTGATATATTATAAAAAAAAAATTTAGATTATAACTATTAATTTAAAATTAATCTTACTAATATTAATAAAAGTTTAGTATTATAAAAATATTTTTCATGAATAAGCTAAATCAAATCATTTAAAGCTGAAAATTTCTTTTAAATGAAAAAAGTTATTATAAAGCAATTCATTAGAAATACATTATATTATTATATTAATATAATATAACTTTTAAAATTATAATTTTTTAAGCAAATTTTAATGTTACTAAAATAATTTATATAATAAAAAAAATTAAGTTTCATATTACAGCATTTATCGATCAAATTTATTTTATAATACAAAATTTGACTTTAATTAATACATTAAAATGACAGATTGATAAAATATTAAAATATTATTTTTTAATATTACATTTATATAAGAAACTTAGTATTTTTAGAAAAAAAATAAGAACAAAATATTAAAAAGTTTTTTAAATTCTAATTAAATAAAAATAAAAAAAACTTATTTTAAAGAAAAAAAGTGAGTTACCTTTTATAAATAAATCATATAACAACTTTTCTGAGTTATATAAATCATATATGTATATTATACTTATGAAAAAATCAACTATACAATACATTTTTAGCTAATCATACAATACACATTTTTTATATACTTTTTATATATATAATATACATAAAATTTAGTAATCATACATGTACAAATAAAAATGAACAGATTGATCAAATATTAAAATTTTATTTTTTAATATTACTTCTTCCTTCTTAATTATTTTTAATATTTAGTTTATATAAGAATCCTAGTACTACTAAAAAAAAATATATTAAAAATGATTCTTAAATTATAATTAAATAAAACAAAAAAAATTTATTATAAAGAAAAAAAGTGAGTTATTTTTTATAAATAAATCAACTGAATTATATGACAAATTTTAGTGATTATACAAATTATATATATATTATATATTTGAAAAATCAACATTTTTAGCCAATTATATAATACACATTTTTTTATATATCTGCTTTCATTTTTATAAGTATTTTAGGAATAATTTTTTTACAATTAAAGATGTTATTAAGTTCATTTAGTTAGTTTAGTTTTAAAAACCCATAGTTTGACTTAATTATAACAGTTTATATATAATTTATATATAATATAATTTATTATATGCAGTTTATATAATATAAATCTATTTTTATTTAATATCTAAAAGTTTATAATTTAACATTAATTATATATTTTATTAAAATTGTTAATCAGTCTTTATGATTTTTATAATTTTATTTTAAATAATAATAAATTTAAATAATATAAACTTTATGCTATATATAAAATATCATTTTCATGAAATTTTTTAAATATTCAACTTTTTAAATATAATAATATTTATGCAATATCAGGATTTAATTGGTTATGCAACATAAAAATAGTAAGTTTTACAATAGAAAATATTTATTTACATATAGAATTCTAAATAAGTCAAGTTGAGTTAAGTTTAAAGATCAACTCTATTCAACTCATTTTTTTCAAGTTGAGTCGAATCAAATTTATTTTATAAAATCTTTCAACTTGACTTGATTTGAGTTATAAAAATTTTAAACTTAACTCAATTTGGCTTGACTTGATTTTATTTTGATTCAATATTGATTTAAATTTATTTGAGTCCAGTTAAATTTAAATCAAGTTTTGAGCTATATTTAAATTAACTTATAAATTTTAAAAAAAAAATTAAAAATTAAATGAAAAATAAAAATAATTTAAAAATGAAAAATAAAATATTAAAATAAAAAAATTAAAAATTAAAAAAAAAGGAGAAAAAAGAAATATAATAAAAATAAATAAAAGAAAAAAAAATAGATAGGGAAGAGAGGAATTAAAAATGAAAATAAAAAAAAATAAAAAGTAAAATATAAAAAAAATGGAGAGGAGAAAGAATTAAAAATAAAAAATAATAAAAATAAAAAAACTGGAGGAAAGAAATTATAAAAAAAAATAAAAAATAAAAATGGATAAAAGAGAGAAATTATAAATGAAAACAAAAAATATATATATATAAATATAAAAAAACTAGGGAAATTAAAAATAAAAATAAAAAAATAAAATAAAAAAAATTAAAAAAAAAAATAAAAAAATAAAAAAATAAAATAAAAGAAATAAAAGAAGATCAAAGAGAAAGAATAATAGAAAAAGTAAAAAAAATAAATAAAAAAAAAGAGAAGAGAAAATAAAAAAATTTAAAAAAATAAAAAAAAAGTTCAAAGAATAAAAAAAATAAAAAAAAAAGATAAAAATAAAGAAAAAAAAATTAAATTAAAAAAAATCAATCAAAATATAAAAAAGAATCAATCAAAAGAAAAAAAAGAAGAAAAAATGAAAAAAAGAAAAATATATTGATCAATAAATTGATCAATTTATCGATCAATTTAAGATAAATTAGTTTATTTATTCTTAAAAAATAAGACTAACTTAAGTTAAGTCAAGTTCAATTCAAGTTTAAATCAAATTGAATTAAATATTTAATTTGACTTAAATTTGGCATAACTTATAAGTCATTGTCAAAAAAATATAAACTCAATTTATTTAAACTAGTTTAGCTTATCTGATTCAAGAATTAACTCAACTTATCTGAACTCTATTTACATAATATAATATACTAGTTACCTGAATAACAAGATAATAGCATATCATACTTAATAAATCTAAAAATTGTTTTTCTATATCTATCATTCTAATAGATCATATTTATTATTTAAAGGTAAGGCAAAATATCGTTCTAATTTATTATTACAGTAGCAGTCATAAGTATCTGACCGCCTGAGATCATCTAAAATTATTATATAACTACCCCTTAAATTTTCCAAAAATATAATGTAATATAATATATGATCACCTGTAAATTTATAAGCGTTAATGATACAAAAAAAAAATTTAGATGATCATCAAACTTTCGCTTGAAAAATAGAACTTTCTTTAGAGAAATAATATGAAAT